TCCCTGATACGCGAAAGAAAACAAAACTCTCTGAAGTTTAATTGTCATTGTTAAGATGGGGATAACTGTGCCTAAAATTCAGCTTTGAGATCTTGGAATAACAAGCAAAGCACTTTCCATAGTTCCTGTGTGCAACAGCTACATATTGAAAACAGGCTCCTCTATCAAAGTCATTGCCTTAAGTCTCTTTGCTCTACAATATCAAAGTAACTGGTGCTATTTATAAAACCTTATCATTTATATTCATTTAATTTATAGTTCGTATATTTATAGGAACTAATTATAGCAGCATTGCTAACTTGATAATCAAGTGAAGGAAAAATCTTCCCTTATGAAATATATAGAAAACAGACTTTCAATAAATATTTATGGAATTAATAAAATGTATAAAGATTGTATTTCATAGATTTTATTTGAGGAAGGAAAAAATCATAAAGTGAACATTTGAGAAAACTGCTCCAATTCAGAGTCAAAAAAAGATATCTGAGTTTTAGATATTTTTGAATCATTCAGTTGTACAATTTCTGAAGATTAATTTGAGCAAAATTTTGATCCACCTGCACATGTTATTTCTGGGTAATTCCAGAGTTCATAGGCATAGAGTAGAAGCTTGAAACAAGTAGAAGTTCCAGAATCAAAGAAATTCATTCAGTAAAAGGAAGATGCACCTACTCTGTGGTCCAATAAACCAATGATTTTATGGTTTGCAGCATCAGTGATGAGGCTGGATGGGATTTGTCAGTGGTTCTCTGAATAGCACTGCCATAGGAGATAATACCGAGACAGGCAAATTGGACCATTCTGTGCAGTGGTCTCGATTCAATGATGTTATTTCCTTATGTATGTCTCACAGGAAACAAGACACAGAAGTGATAATAACTGCAAAATCATCCTTAAATAAAACTTAAGACTCTCTGGCAAAGATCTTTTACTTCAAGTATATAATATATTCATTCAACCTTTGATGAAGTCAGGAATTTTGTGTTTTGTTTTGCATTTGATTGTGAATACCTCACTTCATATATTGCTGTCTATAGAAACCATGAAATATCTGATTATGGCATAACTTTTATGCAGAGAATAAATTCAAAGTTTCAAATATCAGCAAGCATATCAGTGAGAGAAATTCAAATGTAGTTGAGAATAGGGACTACAAATTATGGGAAGGGAGAATAGAGTATATCAGCTATATGAGAAAGAAGCGTACATTTGAACATTGATGGATCCAGCATGTCAAAATGATTTGGTAAGGATTTCCAAATGAGGCAGATTATGGTGAGTTCCAAAGTAGAAACAGAACATACTGAGTGTAGGAAACCATTGATGAAAGAACTACTTCTCTGTCTTACGAAGCCATTTAACTGGAGGAATTATGGAATATTCCCAGGTCCTCTCCAGCCAAGTGAGTTACAATGGAATTTGCAAAGCTTTTTCACCCCACATTTGTGAAATGAACAATTTAAGTGAGTGAAATATGCTATAACATATTTGGGTGTGTGTTTATTCTTTTGATGTCATAAAATCTTAGAAGAATTTTTCTCTCCTGATTGAATTTCTACATTATCTCTCACAGGTTGAGAGAAGGGCCTCTCTCCAGTGCTTATCTGAGGAACTGAAGTTTGCAAATTCAACCATTACCTGGAATGTGCTGTGTTACTGCAGACTAGCACCTTTTGGATTTTTAGTTTCACTTAAGGCTATAAAGGAACAACTTTTTTGGAATCAGTAATTCTGGCTTCTAATAACAAATATTTAATCTTGCATGTCAAAATGAAGTAGAAATTTCCACTGCTTCACTGTCTGGTGCATATGCACCTATTAAACCTTCTTTTTGCCAGAATCTATCTCTTTAATATTCATCAAGATCTATCTCTCTCTGATACAAGCAGATATTCTTCTACTTGCTACTTATACTTCCATTTTTGTGAAGACTAAGTTCGGACCCCACATCACTGTCATTGATCTATCTCCTTTAGTTGCTTTATACCTGGATCTATCCCTGTACACAGCTCCCTCACACACATTCTTTTATCCACAACTGCCTCCCAATGATTCCATGAAAAGTCATTTCTCTCTCATCATTTAGAGGATTTCAGAAATAGACTTTCCATCACTAAAGCTGCTTAAGGAATGAAAGAGCTGATGATTTGTTTTTGTTCCCAGTAGATGAGAACCCTTGTGTTCATGTATCATGTAAGATTTAAAACTTTTACTGTGGCTGGTGGGGTGGGGTGTCTGTTTAATTGGATTTGGGATCTGCCTAGATGATTAGTGGAGCACACTTCTAGGTGTGTCTGGGTAGGTCATAGAGGCATACCTTTGGAGTCTATGTCTGGTTCCTCACCTCTTCTTCTTTGGCACTGTTTCCCTGCTCTGCTTCCCTGTCCCCATGAACTAAGCAGCTGTGTTCTGCCATGCCCTTCTGTCATGACATTTATGCCTTGGAGCTGCCCCCATGGACTGAATACTCTAGAATGTGAGACAAATTAAACCTTTAAGTTGTGTGTGTTGTGTATTGTGTCCAGTGATAGGAAAACTGACTAATATAGAAAATTGGTACCTCAGATGTGGGATCGTTGCTGTGACTTTTCTTGACCATACAGTTTAGAAGCCTTTGAAAGTGGTTTGAGGGAGAAGTTTGGAAGGGTTTGGAGATGCTGGCTGGAGAAGCCTTAAAATACTGTAAACTGAGCTTGAGGGTGATTCTGGTCAGAGCAAAGAAGACCAGAATGCTGTTAGGAATGTGGACAGTAAAGGCCAGGCTCAAGAGGTTTCAGTTGGGAGCAAAGACTCCATTGACAGCCATATGTGCTACATTGTGACAGAGAATTTGTCTACATTTTGCCCATGTTATGAGACTGAGAGTAAAGGTGGAGGACTAATTCACCTGGCACAGGAAATTTCAATATAGCTTAACATTCAGGCTGTGGCATGAGTACTGCTGATTGCTTTTAGCAAGCTATAGGGAGAATCAGAGGCAAAATGTAGAGCAGAAAAATTTGAAAAACTTAATTTTGACCCAGAAGGAACTATGTGTAAAAATGGAACCAAGGAAGTATGGCTGTTGAGATTAGCATCATTAGAAAGAAACCAAGTACTTTGTACAGACAAGAAGAAAGATGCCTTGAGGGCATCTCAAGAATCAGCAAGACTTCACTTATCTCAGGCTTAAGTATCAAACTTTCCTTTGAGAAGAGAGTCCTGGAAATCTGGCTTGAGAAGGGTCTTCTGGGGAATTGGTTACCCAGGATTCATTTCACCATGCCCAATTATGCAGGCACTCCGAAGTCACGACAAACATGCACCAAAGGAGCCTGCCTACTGCTCTCACTGACAGCAGATCTTGGCATTTTCTACATGATACTGACATATAGGTGGCTTCCACTCAAGGTTACTGAGGAAGACCTGGGAGGAGCAGGCGAGAGGCCACTGAGAAGGCAGTGTGTGAATGTGAAGCTGTGGGGATGAAGCCAAAGATGAAGTGGAGACACCAGGAATATGGGGATGCCAGGAATGTGAAAAGTCAACTGAGGAAAGCTTCAGGCTGTCAGTGAAGGCAGCCCAAAAGAGAGGCTATGTGGGCTGAAACTGGCAAGACTGGGGATGGGTCACCCAAGCATTACTGAACTTGTATTTTACCACCATGTGATCTGGATGTAGGATATGGAGCACAAGCTTAATATTTGTCCTGTTGTTTCCCCCTCTTTTTTGGTCAAATTCTTTTCTATCTACCTACTCTTCTCTTTTGGAATAGGAACATTTACCTAGTGACATTTTATTTTGAAATTATGTAACTTGTTTTTGATTTTTACAGAGTTTTCCAGCTAAGAATTTACCTTGAATCTTAGAAGACACTTGAAATTGGATTTTTGAAAAATGTTGGAATTATTGAGACACTGGGGAAGGGATTATTGCATTTCCAGCAGTACCCTGGATAGATGTATTGTGTAAGGTAGAATTATGAACTTGCTATTGTCATTAGGAGATGAAGTATGGTTTAAGGAGATATGTTTGGGTATGGAGTTGACCAGTGGTGGGCTTTGTCAGTTAGGATGGAGTGTCAACTTGATTGGTACTGGGATGCACTAGGGATTGGTGGAACATACTTCTAGATGTGTCTGGGTGAATCATGGATGTATGACTTTGGATTCTTCATCGGGTCCCTCACCCCTTTCTCTCTGGCACTGTTCCCCTGCTCTGCTTCGTGGCTGCCATGAACTGAGCATATTTGTACTGCCACATCCTCTGTCATGGAGGCAGCTGACTGGACTGAATCCCCCATAACTGTAGGCCCAATCAGACCTTTCCTCCTCTAAGTTTTAGGTATTTGATACTGTGTTCAATGGTGGCAAGGCTGACTAATACATCTACTACTCTCTCTCTCTCTTTTTACATTACTAAGGACTGAACTCACGACCTTTGCACTGAGCTCTATCCTTAGCCACTTTTTTATTTTGAGACAGGGTTTTGGTAAGTTGGTGAGGCTGGGCTTGAACTTGTGATCCTCCTGCCTTTGCCTACCAGAGAGGTGGAAATGCAGCCATGTATACTACATAATTTTATACTACTCTTTTGATGTTCATGGTGCTGTTGTTTTAATTCTATTACCTGCATGTTTTAGTGGAACTAAGTTTGCTATTTCTCTGGAACACTGCCTTGGTTTATACAATTAAAGACTATGATTTTGACATGACAATAAGAACATGAAGCTGTAAGTACTTCCTAAATGAAATCTGAATTTCCAGAATCTAAACCCAATGATATATATATTCACATAAATTTACTTGTATACATATAAATATATGTATATAAAATCTATAGGTATATGCACTTAAATTTGTATAGGCATGTAAATCACACATAATAAACAAAGCCAACCTTTAAAAATAAGATGATTATAGCACAAGAGCCCTATTTTAAGGCACCCTGAATCATCACCTATTTAGTCATCACACATGACCGGCAAGTCACGCTGGTATGAATGTGCAGCTGTACGTTACCTCTTCTTTCCTTGTGTCATGTCCTTTCTGTACTAGCCAGATGACCTTGGCTTGTAAAGACCGTGGGGTGCATTCCAGCAGGGTACTGTTGTTCTCGATGCCATAAACTAGGTGCTCTTCGGTTTTATCCAAACCATCTCCTACAACAGGAATGTGAACATCAGCCCTGGGACTTTGATTTTACCGATAGATAAATATATTTTTTTTACCACATTCTCTATTAAGACCCCTGGGGCATGTGAATAACTAAGTTGTTACTGCTAATTTACATGCAAAGCATTTAGAGAAATTAAAGGCATTAAAATGGCAAGAAGGCTATGGAGCTGGATGAAAGGAATTGACAGGGGCTTGGGGGACAGTAGATGGGAGGCCCAGGGGAGTACAAAGGCTCATCGATGTTAAGGCCATGGCAAATCAGTGGTAACTTGCACTGATGAGTCAGGCAGAGAATGTGAGCCTTGAAGGTTCAAGCAGAGCTGAAGACCAAAATCACAGCAACAGACAAAGTAGAAGTCAGAATTCTACGTGACTGGCCCCACATAGGACAAGGGTGAGTAGTACCCAGATGTAAGGCTACGTCATCAGAGAGCATGGAGCTGAACCAGAGCTTCTTGCTTACACTCTGTGTCTCACACCAGCAAGACTCACCAGACTTAAACTCAAATTGTGGAGAGCTAGGCACGCCTACTTGCAGTGGAGAGTAAAAGTAAGTAGATTTTTTGTTGTTTTAATCAAGATGAATTCATCAACTAGATCACAGGATTTGTTCCTTATACCTGAGTTCTCATTACCTTCAAATTGATCCTTAATTCTTTAAATAAAGACTATCCTTATTCTTGCTGGTATTTCCAGAGAGGTGAGTTCTGCCCTGAATATTGAGTCCCCTGAGCCTAACACATTAATTCTGAGTCGGGGATACCACCCTGGGATGCCTCACGGTGCCCTTCCTCCTGTCTCTTCCTGGTGAACCCGGTGACAGGACACACGTCCTGGTCAGCACCTTTCATGCTGGAAGGGCCAGACAGTGGCTTTCCCATCTTGTTCCATTCCCTCACATTTGCTCAAAGCTGAAATTTCTTCTCATTCATAACCCATCAGAGCACTCACCACCCACTGCAGGCCACCACCTCCAGACCTAGGTATGACTTCCTCCAGGAATGAAGGAAAAGTTCTCCATTTGAATCTATATTTCCATAGGTGAATCTGCACATTATTCGCACTTAATAAAAATCAGGGAAGCGATGGCAAGCCTGCTTGGGATTGTGCCAGCAGCCATCTGATGGACGCTGTGCTCTTATTCCAGCGTTCCCCTGCATTGGGATCCACCACTGCCCTTGAAGGCAGTATATGAAGCTGAGTTTGCTACTTATGTAAACCTTCCATAACAAATCATAATACTTTAACTATATGGAAGGAGAAAGCAAATACTTTAGGTAACATTGTCCTAGTATCCGCATCTGGAAGAAAATGACTCCTTGTGTTTTAGAGATCAGTTAATCTCCAAAGCAACCCTTGCTCGTGGCCATCAATTTCCCATGCATTACCAGCAAACTGCTGCCCCACACACTGCTGCGCTGCATTTCCATGCCGAATGTCTTGTCGACGGAACCGCCTGGAAAAGACGCATTTAGATGTTTAGATTTCAGGTTTCTGGATTTTAAAAAACAGACAACCACATTAAAGATTCAACTAGGATTCTGCTTGAAAAAAGCTGATTAGCAGGAGAAACAAATGGAGAATCTAAGTGTCAGTTTCCACTTTTCTACTCAATGTTCTTCAATAGTTGTTCTTTAAATCTTGATATGACTAAAGCACAAGGACCAGAGTTCGATCCCCAGTACCAAAAAAAAAAAAATTAAATTAAAATTAAAAAATCTTGATATGACTGGATTCTGAATTCTCAAATAATAATCTAATAAATGTGACTGTAAATTTTGTGAAAAATTTGATTCAACAAGAAAACTTTTGGTTTGACTGGAGTGTCTTAGGCTGCAAGGTTCTTATTTGTGTGCAAATGAGAATAGAGTTTGAGGCAGAAAACCTGTTTGAGTACAAAATGACATAAAATTTTTATACACAATAAAGGGATGTGGAAAACCATTTGAATCCAGGTATTTTACTCTAGTACCATGATGATCAATTAGCACAAATATAGTCTAAAAAAGATAAATTAATAATATATTGAGCTTAATTATCTATTTAGATATAATATTCAGAAAGTCCGTACGTCTATATAATGTGCTACTGCATTCATCATGTTTAAAGGGATGTCCTGCATCTGTTGGGGCTTAAGAAATTCTAGTTTTCTCCTTCCATTTGCTCTCACTCTATGCATTGATGGATTCAAAAAAGTGAAACAAAAATTAACATTCAAATACCGAGGCCACCATGAACACTGCCTATGGCTCCCCTTTCTGGCTCTTTGCGTTCTGATTTATAAAATGAAATTGGCTGACACCTGAGGTCTACTGTGGTTTCCTTTTGTCATTTCTGGTCTCTCGGGCTTTCCTATAAAGTGACGACGGAACATCATTTCACGAGACAAAGTGCTTCTCATGGGAGCTTTGCAGTCTTTTTCTCGTCTTTCTCACCCATTTCGTAATAGGAAGAGACAGGGAAGACACACATCTCCAGTCAACTTTAGGGTTATGAACTACAGAAAACATCTGGTGTTTTTTAAAAATTTATTAATTTTATAGGTTCATTTTAGGGATATAATATGATGACCTTCATCATTGGGAATTTGTACCTTTACATAATCTATCTTGGTTCTTATTTTTTCCACATTCCCCTACCCTTCCTTCACCCCCTCCACCTTTCCCCATTTTCAAAGACTTTGTTTCCATTTTTTTTCCTTTTCTCATGTTTATTCCTTTATCTTCTTGTTTTGTTTTGAAAAGGTCACTACTTAGAAACCTTTACCTGAAGACATGGGGTTTTACAAAGTCAAGATTAAAAGTGCTCCAGTCTATGGAGCTAGACTGAACATCAAATTTGGAAAAAAGTAACAAGCAAAAATAGAAAGTTTTATGCTGCTAGGTTACTTTATACTGGCACATACAGCGGATAGCAGAGTCAGACTAGAACTCAATTGCTGTTGTTCTTTGCTTTGGTGTTGAGGACCTAAAGTTTGCTGAACAACAACGAATAATGTAGCAGAGAAAACAAATGAGAAATGGCTTCTAGTTTGCAGAGATGATGCTTTATCAAGATTATGATGTAGTGACTTGAAAATAAAAGGAACAATAAACTTATAATGCTAAGCAGTAAGTAAAGAGTGAAAACATTTGTTTAAAATCATTGGAAACCTGCATTTAAAAACAAATAACATCCTATCCTCCAGCAAAATATTTGTTCATTTTTCCTATCCCAATACAAGTGTCTTCTATTTCAGGCTGAGGAAAAAAAATAAACGAAGTTCTGGAGTTGGAGAAAGGTTGAGGAAAATGCCTTTTTTCTCAAGGTTGCATATTTTTCTTACGCCTCTCATCTCTTAGAAAGAGAATGCTGGAAATAGACAAAATACAACAGCAAGGCGGGAGGAAGACCTGGTGTATGAACGATAGTGTGTTTTGGAAGATCATTTTAAACAAGAGTCCTGGATTGAGAATCAGTGCTTCTCCCATGCTGGCTCATTTTCACTCTGTGAGCAGAAAAGTATTTGTTTTAATGACTAGTTTTCAGTTTTGGCTTGTGTTCAGGTCTGAAGCAAAAATGATCTGCTATAAAATTGAACTATTTTCCCTCCATGCGCTGGGACTTCTCCAGACAGCCGTGCTCCGGGTGGGTGACAGCTCAGAAGAATCTGGCACCACTACCCACCCCCAGCAGAGCCCATGCATCTGTGAATGCCGGCACCCCCTCCTTCCAGGCATGCCCTCTGCCTACCATTCACTTAACTCCTCCAAGGAACTTTTCTTCTACTCCCCTTTAAAATATTACCAGCCTTGTGTATTCTTCAAAGATGTATCATATACCAAGAAGCACTTAGCTACACAAACTTCTCTGTTGAAATCTGGCACCACTACTGCATGCCTAATAGTATTGCATTTGTTATTCTTAAGCATTTGGTGCAAGGCTTACGTTTATTGTTGCTCTCTTAATAAAATGATTGGTTTTATTGCTTAGTAAAATTCCCTCCCTAGTGTGACTGCAGATAAACATTAGGAACTGTATATTTCAAATATCAAGAAAAAGTGATTTTTGAATGTTTGAATGTTTTGAATATGATAGCTTGTCATCTCCACATCTCTTTATAGAAATGATAAGTGCATAAGAAGATAAATATGACTCCCCTAGTTTAATCTTGCACAACATACACGTGTTGAAACATCACGTGGTGGCCTGTAAACATGTACAAGTTTTACATTTTATGCATCAATTAAAATCTATTTTAATAACAATTAAAATATTTGCAATCAAACTTTTATTAAAAATCACCTTTTCATCCTAGGATCCTGTAACTTTACTTCCAAGTCACGTAACTGCACGTTTTCCCTTGAACATTCTATGCCTCTGTACAATTAATTCCCTTGAACTACAACCTCCTTATAGCTCTACCGCCAAGACTGGGTGCAGAGGTGGGTTGAGCTGACACAGGGTTGTGGACCCTGCCTGCACTCCAGGGCCTCCACACCCAGCAGTGAGCTACTGCCATCATTACTGCAATTCCATTTTCCACCTAGTTTGTGGTAGCACTGCACACTACCCTAGCACGCAGCAGTAGTAATGTTCTTCACACTCCTGTTCTGGTACAGAAATTGGCTTAGTGGATGAAAAAATCACAAATCAATATTTTCAAATATGGTTATACTATTCAAGAATGGTTTCCAAATATCAACAAGCATTTGTATAAAATCAATTAATCTGCTTAATTCTTCCATACAGTTGGTAGATTATTTACCTCAGAAATCTCCTCTCAAAGATTCATTTCCTTATTGTCATATTATATCCTTCCTTTAACTTAGATCAGGCCAAATTAACAAGTTTTGAATTAATGGTGTTTTTAGTGAGATTCTACTGTGTGTGTGGTCCTATAAAAATAATTGTACTAAATTAGGTTAAATTAGATTGTGAAAAAGATTTAAAGTTATCCAAAGTGAAACAGTAGGAATAACTAAAAACTAATGTGAATTATTTTTCAGTAGAGAGATTTCTCTATATTTCTGTTTTGTATTATTCTGTCTTTGGTCACTTTATCATGAGAAAAATCTGCTTATTCCATAAGAAATAAAATATTTTCCATTATTTGTTTCCTCAAAGTGTGCCCAACTTCGTATGGTTGGGTAGAGAAATATCCTTATTCTCCAAGGCATTTTCTTCAGCTGAAGCTCTTGGGTTTACCTTCTCTGACAAATGGCAATGACCTCAACGAACTGTAGACACTGGCGTTTGGGGGTCTTTGAGGACCTTCATTTGTGTTGAATTAAATCACACATTTCATTAATTATACAGGTCATGCATTTGCCTAGGAGTTAAAATCTTCACTTTCAAAATGGAATAAATGAAGCCCAGCTGGTAGAGAAGGCATGGGGGAAACTGCAGGATGTATTAGCTTATTTATTTCTTTTCTTTTCAAGTCTGAATCCTCAAGTGTGGTAGCTCGCCTTCTCCACATTCTGAGTTGATCGACACTAGTCTCACGTCTTGCAGCAAAAATGTCAGGAAAGGGAAGAGCACATTCGAACCCATTTGGAAGCACGAAATCCGACGGCCTGGTCAGCGTGAGGGCGTTGTGCACAGGGTGCATGAAAGCTACTTTCAGGGAGCCTCCGATTTTCAGAACTTCTATTGTGATGCAGCTATGACTGCTAGTGCATTTAAATAAAAAATAATCGCTATTTCCATGGAATGGGTACAAAAGGAAGAAGAGCAAAGCAGAGCGTCAGAGAGCTCCGGAGCAGCGGAAACTCACCTCTTGGCCTGAGTGCCCGTGGGGAAGTAGCGCGAGCAGGAGACCCCGTCCCAGGCGCAGTAGGGGTCCCGCGCCAGGCAGCAGTCTGCGCAGGCGCGGCCGTAGACGTCACACTGATGGAGCCGGACCTGAGCCACCGCGGAGGGGGACCCGACGTACAGCTGCTGCTGCGGGAAGCGGACGGAAGGCCGCTAGCAAGCAGGGCGGGGCGTCCGCTGCGCGGATCCGCCCGTATCTGCGCCTTTGCGCACAATCACCTGGGTGAATATGCACTTAGATCACAGGCGCAGCTCAGGGTAGACGATGGAGCACTGAGACTGGGTTTCCAAAGCCTGACTCACTTTCATAGAGTTACAGAATTCAAGAGCTCAGAAACTGTTCTTTTATTCGTGATCTAGGCAGACGCTTCTATTTTCTAACACTCCGGGTCTTCCTTAAAGGTGTATAGAAACATCAATTACGAGACTAGGTGACTAGTCTTCTACATATTGATGTAAACACTTAGTAGATATACATATATGTGTGGAATGTCATGAAATAAACTGTAGTGTAACCAAATGAAAACAGTAATAGCAGAACTTTTAATATCATACGTTCCCATCTGTCAAACATGAAAAGTTATTGATAAACAAATTTGAGGCAATATATGTACAATAATTGTTTTGGGATAAGTTTACCCAAAATCTGATCCCAGCGAAGATGAGATCCACTGTATACTCCTGAGAAATTGTTGTTACAATTATTTTTAGAAGTATTAGTGAAAAATAACTAGAGAATAGAGTCTTGTCATGATTCTAGAAGTGATTCTATGCTCATCTAGGTCATGATTCATTCTAGATCATGATTCTATGCTCATCTTCCTTTCTATAAAAATAGAAAAAGAAGACATATATTAAATGTAAGATCTGCTGTATAAAACTGTACCTAGAGTCAATAATAGTGTATTGTACACTTTAAAACATTCATTAAAATATTAGCTCTCATGTTAAGCTTTATCAGCACAGTAAAATAAAATAACAATAAAAATAAAACTATAACTTGATTATATACAGAAATATTTACTAATGTTCTTATATCCATTGGTAACATATAGAACACACATATACATACATACACAAATATACACAACTTACTCTCTTTGAAGAAATCTCCATAGAAATAATAGGAACTGGATCCTGAAATTTCAAAATGAAATAGTTTCCTTTTTAAAGAATATATACTAATATCTACCTGCATATGATTGTAAATTACCTGAAATCTAATTAGGTATACAAGTGGTTCTATCCCTAGAAGCTTACAGCTTTCAGCTTTGGTAAATCAACATGTAAATCCAATTAAATTAAACTATAATTTAAACATTTCTTCCTAACAGAGTGGAAGATACGGAGATAGGAAACACGGTGGGTGGCCTAATGAGATTACCATTTGTCTCTGGAGTGTCATTGTTGTGTTTGTATTTGACTGTTACTTGTGCTTTGGAAACTCACATATAATAAAATAATAAAGTCAGAATGTTCTTTCTTGTAGAGTACTCAAGCCATTGGAAGTAATATAACAATGCCTTAGAGTGGATGCTATTGCTGAGAAACCATGATCTGAATGATACTAACTTAATGATACTGGTGTGAGCATGGGGTGAACAGGAGCAACTGCATTTCCATGGATGGACACAGAGGAAGGACGACACCTGCCATAGTGTCCAAAGTTGGTGCATCATTGTAGCAACGCTGGCTAAGAGAACCACAGCTTTAAAGAGCAAAAGGAACTAAGATCAATTCTGCCAGTGCAGAAGCACTAGGTAGGTAGACTGCAGTCAGGCTAACCACCTTTGAAAAAAACATTCTAAAGGAGAAAATTTGATTTTCTGTGTAAGCATTTTGAGAAATATGTTTTAAGTTAGAGAATCCTTTGTACATTCATACATCTTTTTCTCTTATTTCCAGCACTAGGGGTAAAACCCAAGATCTTCTCACTGAGCTATATCCCCAGCTCCTTATTATTATTATTGTTATTATTATTATTATTGTTATTATTATTATTATTATTATTATTATTATATTTTTTGAGATCTGGCCTCACTAAGCCCCTAAATTGGAAGCTCTGGGCTCAAACTTGTGATCCTCCTGCCTCAGCCTCTCAGAGTGCTGGGATTTCAGGCCTGGGTCTCCATGCTTGGCTCTTTCATTTATTCAAGTAGCATTGTTGCCAAAGGGTTTAAAAAGTCAGAGTGGTGGGTACCATTCAAAGGGAGCTTTGGCCACTGACGGGAAATGGAATCTTACACAGAAGCCCCAGAGTCAAAAACACGGAAACAGAAAGCTGCCCTGCCTGTGATAGGAAGAGGAGTACCTTGGGGTATGGCTCTGGGGAATCTGCGCTCCTGGGCAGATGCACCTGATCCCTGAGACAGACACATGTATCCACTGCATCTGTGTCTAGAGGGCCGGTCTTCACAATTCATAGACTATTTTTGCAAATTCACATCCTTGTTTAAAGTGATCTGGGCGTGCATGTGCACACTGCTGTACTTCTCACCCTTGGGCACACACGTGCAGAATGGCTCTGTGTCCAGGCTGCAGCCTATGCCCTGGGCAGCAGTCAGGGTGGCTTTCTGTAGCCCAGTGTCCTCTGTGGGAACTATTTAGCTCATAAAACCTTGTACTTTTTGTTGGTGCTTGGATGATTAAAACAGCCTGAAAGAACAGGCTGGGGTGCTGTTTAGTGTTTCTAAACTCAGAAGGATGGCAACGCATGGTCATAAAGAACATGTTTTTAATCCCCTGGACTCCTTCTGGGGCTGAATGAGAGGTGAGCCACTGACGGTGAGCTCCAACTTAATCAGTCTTGAACCAGAAACACACATAAAATGAGGTGATGTCTTGACCACTTGAAAGTGTTGTCATCAGAAATCTGCAGGAACTTGACCCTGTTTTCCCTCAGGAGCCCTGCAGGATTCATGGAGACTTAAGAAACATCACTCCAGCAATAGTGAGGCCCTGGAGCTGACAGTCACATAAAATGTATGACACACGCATCGTCTCATTCATGCCTGTTTTATCCACTTAGTATTCCCGGGTTCTCTACTTCTCTTCTATAGTAAACTGGTTGTGTAGTTAATACTACAGTTAAAAGCCATGTGATTATCCTGCCACAATATACAAATGTGAAAATGTGTTGTTTTTGTTGGATGGATACTACATTTGTGAAACGTGACTGTGCAATAGTGAATCCAGAATTCATGTGTGTGTAAGTGCTATTCTTTTTAGTAAATGTTTGTACACTGAAATCATCTCAGGATACAACAGGCCTGTTCAATTGAAAGGTCTCTAACAATCACATGAGTTACTAGGATTTAAGTCATTCTTCCCTTCAATTTGCAAATTCACGATGCCGCTGTTAGGAAAGAAAAGAGTCTGACTTAACACCTTTCCTATTTAGTTCTCAGTTGTAGTTGTCTATAGCACATACATTTGGGCTATATTTTTAAATAAAAGTACCTTGAATATTTGAAGTTCTTCTAGAATTACTTCTTCCATAGATTCTGTTTCTTGGTTGTAAATTGTGATGAGTTTGAGCACAATTCCAGCATCTGTGAGAATTAAATGAGGAGATAAACTAGAAGCTGTACCACAATCTGGCTTTCAAATAATTTAAAACTACATAGAGACTGTGAATACAAATAAAATATAAAATCTCGATGCATAAAATTCTTAACAACCGCCAGTGCAAGATCATATGATTAAGTATTTATTCATATTTTTCATTAGAAAAAATAATTATATGCCTTGCCAAAACATCAAAAGCTATATTCACATAATTTGGTTCAGAAATTCAACTGTAAATTCAGAAGTCAAAAATGTCCTTTGAAATTATGAAATATGACAGAAGACAATATTGAAATTTCTCTGATATATGATACAAGAAAATTTTTTACAAAATTCAACTTTCTTAGTGAGAAATTATGTTTATGAACTTGAGGATCATACAAAGCCACACACTGTGGAAATCATATATGCAGTTTTTGTTTATTTGTTGTTCATTTCTGCAGCACTGGAATTTAACTCAGGGCCCCATGCCTACTGGACAAGTGCTCTATTCTGAGATACAAACTAGCACAATATACACCTTTAATAATTTTTAAAAATTCAACTCTACACCCTTGAGAAACAAGTGTGAGTCCCCCTGTACAATTTAGCTTCTATAACTATCCATTACTTTGTAAGTTTGCATTTATATTTTAAATGAACAACTTGCTTTTATTATTCATAATATTCTGAGTTTGTTCCTTTCAAAGATAAATTTAAAGACATTAATGTACCTATGCAAATATTTTGATGCAATGCTAGAAATAACAATTCATAAAAAATAAGTACTTTGGAAGTGTTGGTCAAGGAATTGTATGGTATTTGAGCAGTATATTGAAAAATTATCAAATCTTGTGGTTGGTTTAATAAAACTAGATTATAATTAAACTAATAATAATTACTTGTATTTTCCACTAACTAAAAGGAACAAAATTACCATCATTTTGAGAAGCAAGCACATATTAAATAGTTAATAATTAATATGTTGCGCAAAAAAGCAAAGTTGTAAGTCAAATATTAATTGCAATGAATGAATTTGCAATCATAACTATACATATATTACATTTAAAGCCTATGTCTAATTAACATTTGGAGAGATCATTATTACTTATGGGATTTTTCAACATACTTATCACACATTTAGCAAACACGTTGTTTGGTTCTGAAACCTGAGTTTCAGTAGAATGCTAACTTTCAGGTAAATACGTGCATAGGACAGCACAAACATATACTGACATTTCTGGAATTCTCTCAAATAGCTTTGGTTAACTTGACAAGAAAGTGTTTATTGTAATGTTACACAAGTCCCCTGCCTTCCCAAGGATTTAGAAATAGCATACTTTCATGAACTTTATCATATGAGTCTTGCGTGTGGCTCCTCATCCTCTTTGCAAACTCTGTTGGAAGTCACTGTGAGTGAACTCATGGCCAAATAATTTTAAGTTACCTAAAGAAGTCTGTTGTTTGATATCGTGAACCCAGAGCACATTATTAATATTAAAGTTCTCAAGTAAATAGATAAAATATAGCCTTAGCAGAGATCAATTTCTGGAAATGAGATTAATATTTCCTTGCTTAAATCTTTCCTTTTTATTTTTGAACTATTATTGGGGAACCCATGGACCAATGTTAGCAATGCACCCTGCTTCCCAACCTGGGGACATGCCCGTGCTCAAAGTTACACAGGGTGGAATGCTTACTGGTTACTCTTTTAAGACCAGTTGTCACAGTGATTACTATGCTGCATAAGAAAGAATTAATCATTTTAAAGAAGTAAGTAATTGTGTAGCAAAGGACTAGAGAATTTTAAAGTGCTTTGCAGAACCTGCTCCATATTACTCTGAAAGGCGAAGTTCTTTTCTAAATGTTGAAGCAAGTATACAGCATTACGTATGCAGCTGCTTGTAGAAATGATTTATTCTGATACAGCTTGACAAGCACTGCTGTGATCACAGATTTATGTGAAATTATTGTCCCAAGTTCTTTGTAAGATTATGGGCAGCCGAAGATAGTAATGGGGCTGGGGCTTGCTGGGAGAGCTCTAGGATGAGAGCTCATTGCGGAACCCACTGTCCACGAAATCAACTATTCAGTTCTTCACTTATCTCGTGTACTCAAATGTATTAGGCATGAACCGTGTGTCAGGAATTATGGGCTGTAACCATCCCCCATCCTTTCTCTGACTTGGTTAGTGTGTCTTAGAGCCAAACCGTGACACTTTTGCCAACGTAAGTGGTAATAATATAACTAGTCCCAGACAACAGACATGGCTTCTCACTGCTGTGACACACCAGGGCTCTACTTCAGTTTACTTTCATATTTTGGATTAGCCATGTGCTAACAGTGTAACAGGTAACCAGATGTGTTGAGAGGGGCTTTTATAAACACAATTGGAGTTATTCTCTTCAGGGTGATTGGAGTGCCTCAGTACTTCCCGGTTTCTGTACCTGTCCCGATGAATAAGACATCATACTGGCCATCCTCGGCTTCCACTCGGTCCACTGCTATCTGTTTCAGGTTGTATTTTCCATCTGTCTTCACCAATACTGGCTTTTTATGGGCGGGTTTGATGGGATGATACATTAGTGGATGGCTCCTTGCAAACCGAATGGTGTCGTCGGGGTAGTCCTTGGTGGTCCCATACCTTCCTCCGTTCACCTTGCTGGCACACTGAAACGTGATTAGAAATGCCAGAGGGTAACCCATCAGCCATAAGGCAATTAGAGAAACAGAAGGAGCTCAATTAACCAACTATACCCTTAGGCATATGCCATGGCCACACATTCTTCAGTGCAGAAATAGCATCAAAAGTTACAGAGGGAGGCTAAACAATTGAAACAGGCAGCATTAAAAATGTTAGACAACATCTTGAAAAGTGAAATAGAGCTAATACCAGGACAGTTTGGAGGCACTGATAATATGTGCTATAAATGTTCAAGCTGTTTTCTGTTTCCTAAAATTTTTTACATTGTGAACTAAATTTTGAAAGTAAGAAATCTATGACTCAGGGAGACAGGCTCTTTGTTATGCTAAGTCTTCTCTCAGAATGAGGGTTCACACCTGTGCAGAACAGCAACACGACCGCTGACAGGTCCAGGCGGCTCACTGGAGAATCTTAGTGATGAGGCCCAGCTCAATCTGATGGCCATAAACTCCTCAGAGACGCCGCTCTGTGTTGTTCTACTACAATCTGTGTGAATCTGTATTCCATTTTCATGGGGATTAGATACAATAAACTGCGGAAACTGGCAATATTTGCAACATGTCTGAATTCTTCACTCAGCGCCAGCACCTCGAGCTGCCCCATGGAACACCTCTAGCTCTGCTCACGGATGCTTGTGGATAAATGCTCCCTCACTGCTCATGTTTTCTCCAGAAACAACGGCAACTGCAATGACTATCTTGATTTTAAAACTCTCTATTTTAGACATGTAATTTGATAATCAGATTCTGCAAAGAGGGCATTTATAATATTTTCTTTTTATAAAAAAATCAGCCTATATCTCTGAGTTTGGCACAAACTATTCACTGAGCGACTTCATGGACCAGTTGGAGACGTTTTCTCCAGGTTGGAAGCAGCTGTGCAGCCACTCCCTCTCTTCGATCTCTCTAGACCATGTGTTTCCAAGCAGCATTTCCAGCGAGGCCACAGGAGTGGGTTCTATTTAAATTACAGTTTCAATCAATTGAGTGAAATAAAATATACTTTATGTCTTACTGGAAGTAATAATTTTAAGCCAGTGGGAGGGAGTGATTGTAAAGGTAGAGCCTTACACTTGTTAATGGAAGGAAGGTTTGTTTCCACTTTGGGTTTTGGCTTTGCAAAAAATGGTTTCTACTTGGCTTGCAAGTAATTGTGGCATCAGAGTAGTGATGAGATTTTACCAGCTGCTCTTAAAAGTGCGGATGTTGACTTCCATGACAAGATAAGTGTTTGCTCTCCACTGACCCACACAGAACATAAAAATTCCACATTTTTGAAAACTACTTGCACACGGGACCCATGATATAAAACTATCATCATCACATCACTTTCAGACATGTGCACAATGAAACAGCACAGAAGTCTACATGGCTGGTTAAGGAGAATGCGTGTCCACATCTCAGGGGTGGGTGTAGAACTTCCTGTACCTTACATACACTTTTGTATGGGCACATATTTCTCCTCTCTAATTGTCTGGGAAAGATATTTTAAAAGGTGCTAAATATTCTAAGAAGATGGAGAAAAAGCTTCTTTTAGATTTGCTAAAATGACAATAAGGAGAAAGTATGCTCTAGGGGACTTAGAGTCTGAGTGAGACACAAGAATATACAATCTGTGTAATATTTTCTTGCAATTCCAGATGATACTAATGCTTCGCAAGATGCCGAGAGGAAAATGCATGATGCCCATTTTATTGGGCAATTCTGTGGTTTCCAGTACCTTAAAAAGAAAACTTTGAGTTGGAGCTAGTCAAAAATAGAAATGATAACACATAATTCAGAATGCTGATAAAATGTATATATCATAGATTATATTCATTAGAATAACAAACATATAACTTGATAGGAGACATGATATTTCTTAACCACCTAAGCATACTTTTAGATACAGAATTCCTTAATTGTTTCATTGCAAAGTGTGGTAAAGCATGTGAGACGGTGACTGAAATCATCATAAAGGGCTTTCCAAAAGAAGAATACTGTGTTAAATGGTTAAACTTACGGAACCAGGCCTTGGGTAGGGGACTTTCCCTTCGTAGAGTGACCAGTGATACTCAGGACCTTCCCTGTGTGCATATGGCCCATTGAAGGCTGCCCGGATGCTGGACATGTGATAGACACAGATAGCATGTCCTCTGAAGATGTTGCTGAAAAATGACAGGAGCGGATCATCACCATTGGGGAACTGACAGGTCAGTGGTCCCATACTCCAATTCAAATATTAGAATACACTCTTTGGGGTATAAACTTGCAATTCCTTTAAGCTTAGAATAATCTAGAAATAATAGCTATTGCAAAATTTTTAAGTACTGAAATGCCAAAGCTTACCATTTCTTTAATTTGCTATTTATTAGACTTGGAAATGACACTGTTCAAATGATTAAAATTGGTTGTGTCACTTTATTATTGTTAAATCACAATGCTGCATTTTTATGCTTTTAATTAAGGAAGATCAATTCTTAGTAGTAAAAAAGTGTTCATTCTAAAGTTGGATTACTCATATTTTTAAATTTAATTTTATTGGTACATTTTATGTATACAATATAATGACATTCATCAATGGAAATTGCACCATTACATAATCTCTCTTGGTTCTTATTTTTCCCCCTTCCCCTGCCCTCCCTTCAACCCCTTCATCCCTCCATATTTACAAAGACTTTGTTTCCATTTTTTCCTTTTCTCATATTAATTCCATTCCCTTCTTTCCTTTCCCTTACCCTCCCACTTCCCCTTTGCCCCTTTTCTTTCTATTTCACATTATCTATTATACATTTAGTCCTTATTTACACTTTCAGTTTCTCACACTAGAGAAACTATTTGGTATTTACACATGTGTGTCCTATTTATTTCACTTAAGAGTATTGGCTCAATGTGCATCCATTTAGCTATAAATGTCTCTAATTTCTCATTTTTTATGGCTGAGTAGTACTACATTTTATTAAAAAACTACATTTTCTTTATCCAGTCTCCAGTTGATGGGCACTTGGGCTGCTTCCAAGTTTTAGCTATTACAAATCGTGCTGCTATGAACATGGGTGCATATATATCACTGTGGTTTCTTTTAATTCTTCTGGGAAGATCCTCAGCAGGGGAATAGCTGGGTCAAATGGCACCTCTAATTCTAGTTCTTTGAGGTATCTCCATACTGATTTCCACAGTGGTTGCACCAGTCTACACTCCCACCAGCAGTGGAGCAGGGTTCCTCTTTCCCCACAGCCCCGCCAGCATTGGTTTTTGGTTGATTTCATGAGAGCAGCCATTCTGTCTGGGGTGAGGTGGAATTTCAGCATTGTTTTCATTTGCATCTCTCCAATGACCAGTGATGTTGAACATTTTTTCATATTTTTACTTCTTTGTCTGAGAAATGTCTGTTCATTTCAGATGCCCATTTTTGGATTGGGTCTAAAATCAAAATGGATTAAAGATCTAAATATTAAAACAGAAACCATGAACCAGCTGGAAGAGAGGTTAGGTAAAACTCCTGAAAATATTGGTGTAGGAAAAGATTTTATGAACAAAACCTCAGTGGCCCATGAACTAGCACAAACAATCAACAAGGGGGATCTCTTCTTATTAAAAAAGCTTCTGCACAGCAAGAGAAACCACCAGCAGTGTGAAGAGACAACCCTCAATGTGGGAAAAAAATCTTCATCTGGTGTTCCTCAGACAAAGGTCTACTATCCAGAATCTATAAAGAACTTAAAAAGATCAGACCTCCCAAATTTAAAGACCCAATGCATTACTCATTTTAAGGTACAAGAATTTTTAAAAATGTTGTTCTCTCCTCAAAGTAGTATTCTTTCCGTCATCATGCTGTCATTGCTAAAAAATTGTATTCAAATTTTATTAGCTATCTCAGCATATATTATTTTAAATCTCATCAAAATTTAGGGCTTTGTTTCATTTTTTTAGGTTGGGTTTTCACTTTTGAACTCTTTCCTTCAGGTCTCTGAAAACAGTGCGATGGTGGAAAGACACCTCGCATGAACACAATAAACCAGAGAGAATGATCTAAATCATAGAAAACTCAGTTTCCTCATCTTCAGAATTAATATCAATTACAATGATACAAAATTTTCTACTTGCTGAGGATAAAGACCAAGAAACTTGACTATGGCAAGTTTTATTGGGTGTATTTGCCATCAGATTCTGAAAAAGCTTGTTTTTAAAAGATTAATTAAGATATCTGACCATATGTCTTAATTTGGCATAATATGAATTAAAACATTTTCCAAGCTTCTGTATTATGAAAATTAAAATGAGTAATATTTGTGGATGAGTTTTGGAAAATGTAAAATTCTGGGCCAATACAGTATTTCCTGTTCCCTGAGACACCTGTAGAGCAGTGGTTATGTTACTGTCTTAGAGCATTGTTCACAGATTTTATAACACAACTTGAAGCAATTGGAAACATCTGGGGCACAGAGAGCTGGGATCATCTCTCAAGGAGAGTGACAACGCACCTTTGATCAACATTCTGCGACACCAGCCAGTGTCAGGTAACAGCTGCTAGGTTTCTTTCCTCAGACTTGTATGTAAATTGCACAGACAAAATGGAAATTGTGGAAGAAAACCATGTTTTGTCTTTGATTTCTTAGAAAGATCCAGTGAGCCATCATTTAGAAGAACAGTATATAAATGGAACGCACTAACCCATAGAAAAATATACTGACTATCCCATAGCTTGCATTTATCATGTAAAATCTCTGAATTATCACGATACGTGTAAATTACTCACTGATATAATGGAGAAGATTAAGGAAAAAAATAAGGAATTTTCCAAGACTGTCATAACAACACACATTAACCATTTCTAATTTGCATCAAGGAATAATCAACAAGAAGAATTATTTCCATGTTACTCTGTTGGAGAAAAGATCTCTCTCTACAAAAACAAGATACTTGTCTGAAGGACTTACTATGTTTTGCAAACAGATGTCACCTACTGAAAATCCAAACACCAGCTGAATGGAAATGCCCCGGAAGCCTCTAATACTCTCTGGTCAATACCAGTCCGGAAGCTGAGCAACGCCATTCAGCCCCTGCCAGGGACCGAGATACATTCTTCATTTCTCACCCCAATTTGCACATTGGGTGAGATACCCTGGCAATTGTATATCTACATTTTCAGCCAAAACCAGTTCTGTAGTCTTTTTTATTCATATATCAACACACATGAAATATTTTACCTAACATCATTGCTCCTGCATACAAAACAGAAAATGTCAAGGGGAAAATAACAGACAATGAGCCCTCCAGGTGAGCAGCATACTGAGAAGACAGGAGGTCCTGAAGGAGTGTCCACCGTGCGCTGCCCAGGAGCGGATGCCCAGGGTAAAGGGGAAGCCTCTTCCTGGGCACCGACTCCAGGAATGTTCCTCACAGGGACCTTGCCGAGTTCTGGGAAGCTGTTACAAACCCGCATTGGAAGACAAAGTAACTTCAAGCAAGAGAAGTAAATAAATAAAATACAGCAAGGGAAGCTGGCAAAGCAAACCCTGGAATCCCTCAAGGTATTTTCTTGTCAGAAGTAGAGCAGTGGAAAAATCAGAGGGAGAAAAGTCCAGAAATGAGTAGGTCAGAGAGTAGAGAACTAACTCGGGAGCCTGGCCTAGGGAGTATCACTCGCTAAGTAAGGACTCCAGCATGGAGCTACGATCTTAGGTCTATTTCCTCATAGGTTAGAGAGGGAAGGGAGTTGGACATTGAGCACAGGACAAGTCTGGGGTTCTGCACATGAGGATCCAGGCTGTGATGGTGGCTTTGAAAATAAAAGTGCAGTTTCAGTCCTGGGGGCTCCAGAGGACAGAAAAGGAGAGCGACCGTGGGGCCTGTAGCATTTCTGAGTTACAAGGCGTACTTCTTCTTTGCAAGAAACTTTTTTGTCTGTGTCTTATACTCTGAGTAGCTACTTTGAAGAGAATGATACACAGTGTATTAACTATCATTATTCTCTTATTACTTTGTTATGAAATCTTATTTTTTCTTAAAATAGTATATGATGAATGTTTACTTTTTTTTTTTTTGGTACCGGGGATTGAACTCTGGTCCTTGCGCTTGCGCATGGAATGTTTACATTTTTAAAATCACCACAGTAAAAGACACACTGCCATTAATCTCCCTCAGGATCCTCCCCCTCATTTTGAACACATTATCCCACTGTTTCTGGCGGCTTCTGAAGCAGCTCTGGAGTCCTCTTTTGTGTGTATCTTTATGAAGTGTGATTAAAAAAAATATGGTGAGTGCTGCTGCTGAGCCCCATCCAGCAGAAAGGCAGGGTCAGCGATGCAAAGTCCTCAGCCAGCTTACTCACTGGCGCTGGCACCATGTGATGTCCGGCTCTTGGGCAAAGTCAAAATGAGCTTGAAGGGTGAATGTTTTGAAATGATTCAGGACATTGAGGCAGCCAGGACAGCACAACTAAAGACACTCAGGGGAGAGGACTCTGGAGCCCTGGCAGGGAGTGGCAAGCACAGGATAAGGGGTTTGAAACTGGGGAATATTCTGAGGGAGATTAATAGCAACAAGTCTTTTACCGTAATAGTTTCATTTTAATTTAAAATTCACCATGTATTTTGATCATATCTTATATGTACACCATGAAAGGGGAGTACCATGAAATCATTTTTTATGCTGTTTTTATTGACTGAATAAATTCTCACCTGGTAGTGTTAAACAGTCCAAATATCACCGGGTTCTTATCTTCTCTGGTATGCAGCAAAAAAACATCCTCTGAAAGATTAAAGGCCATTCCATCATTTCATAATTTTAGCCCTCTTTGCATGCAAAGAAAATATATGCACATGAAGCAAATTAGAATTTATAATAGACTTTAAAATGAGTGTTCCCGTAAGCATCTAGCAAGCATGGCTGACTCATAACCGGGTGTGGCATTGCTGCCTGGGGGTGACAGCCGAGCCAGGGAGGACCCAGGAGCTGAGCTGAGAGGGTCGGGCTTGTTCCTGCAACTTCTCTGGTCCCATCAGCTGGCAGGAGGAAGCAAAAGGAACAGAAACTTGCCCCAGGTTTGTGAGAGGTCAGACTCCGTGGAAGCAGTGTTCCCTGTGTGCTACAGAGGAAAATTCAGTTCTCCATTAGCATTACCTAATTCATCGAAGTGCGTGTCGATCCCGTTCCCGCCGGGCACGGAGCACACCAGCCTGGCTTTCAGGAAGGTGGCCCACTTGTTCACCAGGATCCTCTGCCCACCCGCGTCGTTCTGTGGGCACAACATGGGCCATGAGTCACAAGGACCCTGGCCAAGAGCACACTGGCTATGCTTGGGCCTCTACCTGCCAGATCTCACTGCTTTTTAAGCTGTAAGGAGGGAGACTGAGCATGACCCTGGAACACTACAATAGATGGATGTCCCTGTACTTAAAAGAAAAAACAAAACTTTTTTTAGATGGGGACATTCTGGCTTCTCAGTGTACTTTTACCAGGGTGCATTAAATATATCTTCTAGGTATTACACCATATTAATATAGCAGTCTCTCCCAATGTTATGCCTTTTAGGATACAGTAGCTTTAGTTAATTTTTTTCTTTTTTCTGTGGTACTGGGGATGTAACCCAGAGCCTTCTGGTGAGCCTTCTGCCTCAGCCTCCCAGAGTGCTGGGATTACAGCTGTGCATCACCATGCCTGGATAACTCGCTTATTATCTTGTTGAAAAACAAACTGCCTGTCTCAGCAATCGGTAAGCGTCCATTCCTTTCTCCTCCTTTAGTAGAGAAAGCTTGAAATACACATACAAATATCCATGTTATATTTATACAACTGGCCACGCACACAATAGGTACATGTGTATTCATGCAGAGAGGGACCTGGGGCATTGATTCGAAAATATCTTCCCAAGTGCCATGGAACCTTGACATTTGTATTACCATCCTCTGAACTCCTTCTGCCACTTCAATTGGTTTGCTACCAAGAAACCTGTTTGAATACATAACAAATGATATTTTTCCTATAGAAGCGAACTGGGTTATTCAAGAAACAGACTAAGGCAAGCTGCCTGTTAGCGGCCTGGCCGGCAGACCGCAGAGCCGGCTCAGAGCATGAGTGGGTGCCGCGCTGCCTGCCGGTGCTCACCACGCACAGCCGCCCCACGCGGGCGAAAAGGGCCTGCGTGCCGCGCTCCGCCTCGGCCTCCTGCGCGCGCTCGGTGAAGAAGAAGTAGACCTTGTCGTCCTCGCGGTCCTCGTTGTCTGGGATCATGTAGGCGCCCACGAACTTGGGGTCTGCGGGCAGAGGGAGAAGCTGAGGGGGATGGAGGAGGAGTGCGAGTGCCCACGGAGGCCCAGGTTGTTCCCCGGGGTAGGGGCCGGGCAGCTGCATCTCACCTGTGATCACCAGGCCTCTTGGAGACAGTGAGCTAGGGGTGTAACTGGAAAGTAAGGGAGCAGGGAGACAGCGGTGCATAAGCTTGTTGCGCAGTCCTGGTGCTTCACTGGAGTGTGTGCTTCAGGGTGGTGTGCATTCCAGTGCAAGGTGCACTTCAGTGAGGTGTGCGCTTCAGCATCCTGTGCCCTTCAGTGTGCTGTGCTTTCCAGCGCGGTGTGCACTTCCAGTGTGGTGTACACTTTAGTATGGTGTGCACTTCAGGGAGGTGTGCATCTCAGTGTTGTGTGCACTTCAGTGCGGTGTGTGCTGGAGGGTGGGACAGAGGAGCAGCCAGAGGCTGAGACTCCAGCTCTCGGAGTGTAAGGCCTCCACTAGTCCAGCTCCTGGGGTCATTTTAGCCTTACCACGGCAGAGTTTTGTGTTTACAGTCTATTGACCTTCGACTGATGTGGTATGTAGAGTATTTTAATGATAATGTGCTCTTTATAGCATTATTCACTTTTGTGCTTATAAATGCTCACCATAAAATGGTGTCTTAGGTCCTCGAAATGCCAGTGTGACAGAAATAAATTATGCCTTACAAGGAATTCTGCGGCACTTGTATTTGTCAATTCCTAGAATTTTATCCATCAATAAAATGCAATATGATTGCACTAAAGCAATGAAATCTTTAAAAATCACACCAATTGATACACACACATGAAACTCATTGGATGATGGGTCTTAAAAACATTTTTCATGCACTTGTTTCCTTTTCTTCATTAGAAACCTAAGCACGGCGATGCCGGTTCTATGCCTGAGCCCCTGCGTTTTGATGTGAAGTGACAGGCACAGCAGCTGTGTTTGGAGCCCACCTTATACAGCCAGGAAGACCCCCAACATCCACACAGCGGCAACCCCCTCTCCCTCCCATCGCCTGGCCCCACCTTTCAGCAGCCGCTCATCATCTGGCTCGGTGCGCATGTGGCCCAGGTGGCCCAGGCTGCGGCTGAGGGCAGCGTCTCGACCCCAGTAGTCCCCGTAGAGGCCGGTGAAGAGGTCGGCACCTGCACACACAAACCCAAGAGAGCACGTCAGGCCCTAGCCCACCTGAGGCGAGGTATGAACCACCACACAGGGAGCACATGTGGCTTTCAACACAGGTGACCCCAGGACATTGGCACCTGCTGTCAGGGGCACAGGTACACCTGAGACAGCCAGGCCTTGAGTCCTGTGGAGGCCACTTGTCAGCTGTGTGAGCCAGGGAAACTGGCTTTCCCTCTTGATTTCTTTTTTCATGACTAGAAAAAGGAGAAAGTACTCAATTGCTTCACCAAGAGTAATGCACTTAGAGAGTAGCTTGCAAATACTTAGATCTGATTTGGGTCAATACAGGGCTTCATCCTACTTTACAGCTCTCGGCCTTCTTGGTATTGCAGGTGTGGCATCTGTGTGTGCACTCGGGCCTTCCTGTAGGAGAGATTGCTCTGGCTATGCGCTGCTAGCCTGGCAGCCATGAATCTGTCATGCTGCAGCTGACCTGGCCCTGCTGCTCAGTCTGGCAGGGGACAAAGAAGGCCCCAGAGAGTTGGGTGACCTCTCCCCTCGTGGGGTGGCCCCAGAGACTTAAAACCAGATGAGGATCTGCAGCATGCGCATGGTCTGCAGAACTTGCCGAGTCTTTGAGGTCAGAGGGGTTGGGAGTGATTAACAGGGCAGGGAAACATCTTTTCCCAGTAGCGGAAAACCTAAGGGAGAGCCTGAGCCCCAGGAAGACAGCACCAGAAGGCACAGGGTCTGGGGTCCTGTGTCCACAGCAGAGCCCAGGCCCTGTCCTGGGTGTGGATGGTGGGTGGTCCCTGTTCCCAAGCGGGGCTCCGCAATCTCAGGGGACAGTGGCCTGGGGGATCATTTCCTAAATAAGCACCCTGGATCTGGGTTTAGGGTGAACATGGAGACGGTGACTGCACAGCACCAGACCGTATTTTCTGAACTCTGAAAAACGAGTACACACATGCACATGATATTTAAGGTGCTTTACACAATTCAAATTAATTTTATTTCTGATTCCACACATTGAGTTATATGATAAATTTAAGAATTATGATGATTTACATATGGATAAACATTTGACCAAATGCATAAACAGAATTTAAGATACCTTGAGTTTATTAGGTTTTAAAAACTTATTTAAAAATTTATGAAGGTTTCTTCCCTAAAGTAAGACCTTTAGAACTTTTAAAGAATTCAAAAGATAAAATATGTCTACATGATTGATTTAAAGTTTGGGAAAAGTAATCGACTGAGTTATGCAGAAGGCATTGTATATGGAAATTTATTTTCAACTTGGGTTAGCTATCCTTTTTTTTTAAGTGATGATTGCTTTGGTTATCTCAGATTTAGAACTAGATTAATAAGATACAAATTAAATTCAGAGATTTAAAGAAATATATTTTAGACTATTACTGCAATGTTATATTTCATTTTAAAAAGACAAGCAATTCTAAAAAGGATTTTTTCTGTTCCCAAAACCCACTGTGGATGTGTAAAATCTAGGGTATAAATGAATTGAATCTTGGTTTCCCACAAAGGAATTCATTGCTGAACTATATTTTTATATGAGAGACAGAAAAGACAGAAAAGCAGATGTGGAACAACCTCTATATCAGGGAGTACACGAGTATGACACAGACATGCACTGTGCTCCTCGATCAGCCATTTGTATTTCAGAATTTTCAACACCACACATTTAAAAGAGAGATATAGGTTACTCAACAATGGTGAGAGGTAATAAAGAAAATAAAAACTATAAAAAGATACAAAGTCTAGACTTCGGGACAGACAGTTTGGTGGAGAAAAGTTACACCAGAACTCTTATCGAAGCATATCCTGTGCTTTGGTAATAAAAAGATCAGCATCCTGTGTAGGAAATACAATCAGTGCTGTCTCTACCAGAAATTCTTGATAAACGGACAGAGTGGGGGAGACCAGAGGTGCTGGTGCTGCCCAGCATTGAGCAGGGGTGAGGACAGCCTTGCTGGGTTCAAAGACACAGAATCACCAGCTCTGTCACACAAACAGCCAAGCTGACCGTGAAAGATGTACCTGACTATTCAAACACCACAGAGGATTCATCTAAAGTATTTTTGTTTTTATGTATTACAGATGAATTACATTTTTCATTGAAAGCATGAATTCTACCTTATAAAATCACTCAAAACGTAATTTATTTTTCTAGTGTGGGATGGGCTGAATGTTTAATGCATAATTTGTATGAAGAGAAAATTTCTCAAAAATATGAATTTTCTATTAAGTTTTTGATATGCAATGTAGTTTTATTTCTTAAAATATTTTAGAACTCTTATTATGATGAAATATAATCTTTATATTATCAAACATCAATTTTATTGCCTCTATGTCCATTTAGAACAGTTTTAATCAACGTTGTAAAATTAACTAAAAATACTCCTTTCAGCCACTAGAGGGCAGGCATGAATTACAGAAAACAATCTATCCAGGCTGGATAGAACATTAATGAAATATCCACGTATCTGCACAAAAGACGATACAGTCCCAATTTTATTCAATTTCCCTTTTTGCACTCAGATAAAAGAAAATAGTTGGTGAACATTTCAAATAACACAATATGAACTGTAGGATTTAAACTTCAAAGAAGTTAGGTGCTAAAAACTATGGGCCATGTAAACTGAACCAAATGTTTCTGTTGAAATGTTAGCATTTCTTCTGGAGTAAAGATTCTCCTTTCAGATCTTATCATTGTGAGGAAGAATAACCTGCATGATGACAGACCGTTGTTAGGGTTCACAAAAAAACTTTCCTGAGAAAAACAGGAGGAAAGATAATACATTAATGAAAAATAACAAATAGAACGAAGGTTTAGGTGCAAATGATACCTAGTCACAACATGAGAATCAATATTTTGGCATTCTACACAGTACAAAAATAACATCTGGAGAAGCCACGTTTTCATGAATTAAAAAACGGTTTCATATAAGGAATATAATATGTTTCAGCGTTTTGGTGACAAGAGCACATTTGCCCAAGGATTTAGTTTTCAATGTCTAGGTAGATATGATATTTCATTAATGTTCTATCTAAGCCATAGACTAGATTGCTCTCTAATCTCTGCTGATATGCTGAATATATGTGACCTGGTTTTTATTTGGTTGGTTGATTGATTGTAGTGTGGATTAAACCCAAGGCCTTCCAACTAAGCTACATTTCCAGCCCGTTTTACTATTTATTTTGAGCTAGGATCTCATTCAAACTTGTGATCCTCCTGCCTCAGCCTCCTGGACTGCTGGATTTACTGGTGTGTGCAATCATACTTGGTGATTTTTATGCCATATATGATTTTCACTGTTACAGTGTCATCTGATGATAACTGATGTTACATTAATTTTAGATCACCAAGTTTGATTATAATTTAAAAATTAAACAAAAATTTGGAGGATGCTTTGCCTTTCATTTATCATTGTCATGCTCAGTAATAATTTCTCTATACAGATACAACAATAGTGGAATTAATTCTGCACTGGAAATCTAGGAAAACCAAGTGCCCAGGTCAAAATCTGCGACTGGACCACACCAGAACTCTTTGATGTACCAAGGCACCGATTGTGCATAGAATCAGGGAGACCCACAGGGCTTTCTTGAGCCTGTGCGCTTCTGCCCTCCCCGCTGTCCTGCCTGGAATCCCGTGTACCTCTCCTCCTCTCACTCCAGCCCACACAGCTGCCCCTGCTCACCCACTCGGCTCGGACCACGCTCTGGGTGGCTTGGTGGTCCTGGCACCTCCACCCTTGCCCCCTCCCGGCCCCACTGTGTTGAGGTGACCCCTCCCTCCCGCCCGCCCGGCCTGACCACCGCCTGGTGTCTGCGATACAGAACAAGCATGGTGGACAGCACTGAATCAGTGCATGGCAAGTGAATTCACAAATCTACTTAGAGCTCTTTTGTGGTGTTAAAAGATCTCTGAAATATAATATAAAACTCTCAGGATAAGATTATTGCTTCAGGGAGAAAATACCAAAAGAAAGGTATCAGGTATTCACATGAATAACAGAGTTCTTGAATTTTTGTTCCTAAGGGACATTATGTCATTTAATAAGTTGAAATCATAAATTCTGGATCTATATTTTTTCTAGCATTTGGCCCCAGTAGCTTCATCCCCAAAGGACTTTATGTAGATTAAAAGAATGTGCATATAAGCATATAAACTGCTTATATGAAAGAAAATAATCATTTGATTCTGAGCAATATGCAAATGTAATGTTTGTGAGTACTTATAAGTAATTCTAAGGCAAAGTATGTAATTCAGATAATTTTCTATATAACTTTTTTTACAATATAAACTCTAATTGAAATTCACTAAACATATGACATTGGCTTAATATTTTCTGACGCTAATCAAGAGTTTCTGTCATGGATTTATTTCCCAAATTTTATTTGCCATGTTGGGATACAGACTTAATTACTCAGCGAGAAAGCTTGCAGTAAGTTATGCATGGCCTCTTAGCCCAGGTGACTCAAGCACTTGTCCTGTTTCTGTTTTGAACGCCCATCCCACCGTACAAACTCATGCAAACACATTTGCCTCATGGAATAAATAGTATGAGGCTAAAGGCTGATTTAACTGCTTCACTTTAAAACCGAACTGCTCAAAGCTTTTGGAACGTGATTGTACTTTGAATGGACTGTGTTGCAGAATTGTTCTGACTTGCATAAATGCAAAGAAAAATAAGATGCACCCGGGAGGTAAGGATGACCCAGTGTTAGGAACGTGGACTCCGGGACAGGAGGAAGAGAAACGCGTTCCGAATGTGCTCCTCTGCCTTCCTGGCTCCCAGCTCTGTACTCTGAGCTTTGTTAGTGGCACAGGAGCTCCACTGATGCCATCAGGCCAAAGAAGCATCTTAACAACAGAATATGGACGAGGACTTGAAGAGCTTGTCACTCTTCTCTGTTTCTTCTCCTGTCCTTCTCTTTCTTCTTATTTCTTCTTTTTCCTTCTTTCTCTGTCTCCTTCTCCTCCTTTGAAATCTCTTCTCCTCTTCCTGTCTCCTCCTCCTGCCCTTCTCTTCTTTCTTATCCTCTCCAAGCTTCTTCCTCTGTTTTTCTTTAACTTTAAGCAAAGTGCTCCAGGAGCTCCCTGGAGACCAGCAGCCGTGGTCAGAAGCCAGGTAAACATGTGAGTAGTGGGAACTGTGCCAACTTAAGAGAGCAGCACCTTGGGGAACAAACTACAGCCCCTCCTTAGGGACAGAACCTGGTAAGCAGAGAGCTGGGAGTCCAGGGAGCTCTATAGTTGGGGTGAGGTTGAGAAATGAACCAGCTCATTAAATTACTATGATGAAAAGATTATAAAGATACATATTTTACCTTCATTTGGATTTTTCATTTATTTTCCTAATATTTATTAAGTCGTTTTTTGTGCCAGGAATATTCATTTATAATTCTGAATATTTAATTAATTTAAAGGAACCATGTATTTGAAAGTGTTTTAATGTTATTAAGAATTTGAAATGATCACTTTTGTGTTCCCTATACATATAACTCCTTTTCATCAACATACATCTTTAATTCTAGAATTGGTAATGAGGAGTATATTCATAAAGTTCTTATTTTTAAAAAGTTCAAAAAGAAACTTTTAGTGGCTGTAACTTTGTAACTGTATTTCTGAAGAAAAGTGAAAGAGGACAAAAATGTAGAAAAAATACTTCAGTAACTTTAAAATATCTTACTGCTAGCTAGTTGTTGAAATAAAATTTAGTAAGTCTTTAACTTGAAAAGTAGCCCTAAAAATGTCCCCAAAACAGAAACAAATCAAATTGTCAAAAGGTACATGACGAATCAGTGATTTTCTCCCATACGCTAACACTGTGCACTTTAGTGTAGTTTAACTACTTCAGGTGCTAGGGCTGTCTTACCCTTGGAACTGGTAACACAATTGAGGTATAAAATGAAATGATAAAAACCCTGGCCATAGGATTGAGAGGAGAACATATGAGGGACTTTCAAGTTACTGGCGTTATTGTCAGCTTAGAATATTGCATGAAACACAGCTGAGGAAAAGACAGCTAACATGATTCCTGCCTGGCCAAGATGATATATGAGACACAGAAAGTATCTCCTAGATTTTAATGTGTCCACTCACCTAATGATAATTTACTTTCTATTTTACTCAGCAAGGTTAGTGCTATGTATCTTCAATAATTTGAAAAGCATAGGTAATTAATAATGCATCAATTCACTTTATTGAAAATTGCTTCAGCAAACCTTTAAAACCAAGTTGCAATGCTTTGTGTTACTTAGACGGCTAAATACAATACCAGTAAGTGCACTGGGGGAGTAAAGGGCTAAATGCCCAGAAATACTGCCCCTGATTTATGAGCTTATGGGAATGCCACAAAGGGAAGCTGTCCCCACAAAGTGGCATGGAAAAGCCACCCTAATTAATACGTGGTTTTGTTTTTATTGGCTTCTGAACATGCAGAGCACGGCCGAGTAAAGGGCTTGTTCTGTTTCGTAGGTCTTATTTTGTATAAAGTTGTTATAAGTTCTCAACATTTCATTTCTAAATGAATTTTAAATTTAATAAAATTGTGCTTTTCAGTGGTCTTTCATGTACCAGACAGCACATAATGTTTGCTGGATATTTCAATAATCTTTTCCTTCCAGCAATCTTAAGTCAACCGAATTTAAGTTAACTGAAAGTTTTATGTCAAGTTATGAAATTACATAGGAGATTCTGATCAATAAACGCTTTATTCTCCTCTGAGGCTTTGTAGTTTTGTCGGCCTCATTCCCGGTCTGGTCTAAGTGTGTTAACGGTAAGGCACACGCTGCACGGTGGGTGTCACACCCATGTGGTGCGCAGTCAGCACGGACGTGGTCTCTCTCTCTCTTCCTTCTCCCTCCTCTCTCTCTCTCTCTCTCTCTCTCTCTCTCTCTCTCTCTCTCTCTCTCTCTCGGGAGTTTTGCTTTTACCATCAGCACACGTGGTCCTAAAATGCACGCTAACGCCTTCTTTCCCTGCATGCAGCTCGCCGAGTCCCGGCTCAGGTAGCTCCATCCTTGCACCCCGCATTCCATCTGCTTTTTCAATCAGGTGAATTGTTATTCCTTCCCCCTTTATTGTTTGTACCGGGGATCGAACTCTGGACCTTGCGCTTGTGAAGCAGGAGGCAGAACCACTGAGCTAAATCCTGAGCCCATACTTCCCCTCTTTTAAAGAGCTCCTGGCTCACATAGGTTATCAGGTTTCCATTGCAGAGCCTGCCTCCTCTCCACAGCACCCGAGTGATCTCTCCAAGGTACTTTGGGATGAAAGGGAGTGGATAAATGTGAAGAATTATATTTTTATTTCTTCTCTTTGGAGGGATTAGTCTATAACTTTTGTGTTTAGCTTGGAGCGCTCCTTTGATTTGATTTCTCTTCTGCATAAACGAAACAGCCACCCAGATGGCGAGGACTTCACATTTCAGCACAGCGTAATTCAATTTGGAAGTTCAATGAGACACACTTGGAAATGCACCTCCAGTAATATTTCCTCTCTGAAAAATTTCAGTTTTAGGTTCCTGGCTTCGTGAACAAACAAGCTCCAGGAAGACTGCATGTTGAGTGGCAGGGTAGCTGTAGAAGTTATTTTTCACCTTTTATACAAAATGTTAAAGACGAGTGATCTTTTCCTCCTATACTCCTCAGATTATGCTTACAGAAGCAGTATATACGATGTCATTTTCTACTTCCAACATGCTTCAATTCATATGAGGAATATGTTACAATTTATTTATTTTTGTTTAGATTTCTTGGTGAGTTCTCCCTTCAGTCAGTATTTATAGAAATCCTATTCACTGCAAGAGACTAAACACCAAAAGAAAGTTGAAAATGCTGTTTTTAGATATATACAAATTTTGTATCTATGAAGTTGCAGAAACCACTGAAGAGTAAACAGGACTGTATGGGGCTGGGGATGTAGCTCAGTGGCACCATGCCTGCCTGGTGAGTGCAAGGTCCTGAGTTCGATCCCCAGTATCACACACACGCGCACACACACACACACACACACACACACGAAAGTGTGTATGAGTTTATCAAATAGCTACATTTTAATTCACATCCTGTTAACTTTGGAATTGTAGTATTCATGGGCCTGACACTAACTCAGCATGACATGTCTAAGGTTTTAATGCTTGTCAGGTCCAAACCACTACTCCATCATCAAGAAGGATATGTTTGAGCCATGTCCAGGAAAATGGGTGCAGCTCAAGACCATAATGCTAAGTTAAATGAATCAGAAAAGGAGGTTAAATATCATAGTTTTTTCTCATATGAGAAACCCAAAGTATAGATAATTTAAAAAGAAAATAGAAGGTAGATGGCAGGAAACAGGGAGGAAGACTTTGTGGAGATGGGAAGGGGTGAGCAGAGAGGCAGAAGGCAGGGCAGGCAGGGGAGGGTGAAGCTGTGGTCTGAATATGTACCATACCTAGGCGAACACAGTTTCCAGGTACTGCACACATAGGCTAATAGAGTCTCCCTTCTTCATATTCTGTTCATGCTCTGTGTGTCTTTCACACACACACACACACACACACACATTCATAAGGAAATTCAATATTTTAAAATAATTTTCTTTAAATTTTTTGTTCTTTAAAAATCTCACATCTCTTTATTCGAGACATAATCACTATGTCAAGTTCTCATCTTATAGCCCTTTCAAATTGTGAAGCTGAAATCCAACTTCCCTATAATGGAGCTAACACGAGAGCTTTCTTTTTCTTCATAAACCTATATTTGTATGAAACTTTACTCTTTCGAGCCTGAGTACCAAGATCAGATGGACAGCATCGTGGTGGGAGGCCCAGGGAAGCCACTGTCCGGAGTAACCCAGGGACAGACTCAGGCACACGCTGTGGCATGGCAGTCTGATCAGCTCTGCGTCAAGCACAGCGTGTTTTGTTTAATCGTTAGCTTATTGTCAGCTTATTTTGAGTAGGGACTCTCCCTGTCGCATTCTATGCTGTCTCACTTTCTGCAAAGTCAAAGTAGTATTAATAATACTATTGATATCATTAAAATAATATTTTGCCAATATAAGAACAGCCCCATGCAAATCCGCACCACCCCTGTATCCTTCAGAACAACACTTCGGGGAAGTTAAGGAGGGAAAACCATCCTTGTTAGCATCTCTGGGTGGGGCTGGATTGCTTCCTGGAATCTTATACTTAACACTCCCACCTGTCCACACTGTCACTGTCCTGGAAACGTGAGCCTTTTCAACCCAAAATAATACAGAGAAAGGAAAAATAAGTACTGTATTGTATTTTAGGTGAAGTTCTTGGTTTCCTGGTCTCATATTGAATGGAACTAAAATCTAGATTAGTATTATTATCTTCTTCTATTATTCCAATGTGGACATTTAGCGAGAGCTTGAGCAGTTCAGAGTCTATATTATATTTTACATTAACAAGATTCTAGATAAATAATTTTGGCCTTCTCAATCAAAATGTATTTCTGCTGAATTGAGTGAATAAAAGAAAAAGGAACCCAAAGGAAGGCAATGAAATGCCCTAAGTCACAGGCTAATTGAAAGGTAAAGAATTGCCACATGTTCATACTCTATATTAAAACAGTTTAGTTCCTCCAACTAAACTTTTGTAGCCATGTAACTGCGTTTTGTAAACAGTAAATGGAACTGTGTAAAACGTCTCATATCAGATATTAGTTCAGTTTTTTTCCCCGAGATGAAATATGCATTTGAGTCAAATTGCCCAAGCTAATGTGGCTCGAAATTTAATGTTATTCCTGGCACAGTAAAGAGATATGGCAAAGCAACGTCTATAAGGAACGCCAAAGAATGTACTGAGGTTGAAAAATACATTTCAAAATCATCTTGACTGCCATGGACGCCTGAAGTGAACATAATTACCAATCAAGGTGGAGACGAAGGAGGAGCTGGGGTCAAAGGGGCATCTGCCCCTTCCTCGCTCCCATCTGTGAGACTCCAGTTGAAACAAGTGCTCCTGGGAAGAAAACCAGAAAGCAGTGGTCAGTGCCCCAGCTTGAATACAAACTCCATTGCTTTGATACATCGTAGAAAACAAATGCTCTAAACAGAATACTGTACTAGTAACATCAAGTGACTTAGGAACTAACTGGGTTTTATAAACAAGCGTGAAGGCTTTGCAGACCTCTAAGGACGATCTCACCCTTGAAAGTCTGCAGGTGATGACACGAAAGAAATTAGCAGTCTTTGTCACTTGGTTATTATGAGACTTGCCAGTTAAATATCCCAAAGAAGTTGAAACCTGATGAAAAAGTATTCCTAAAAAGGTGATTCGGTGATTAAAAACAGCATTGTGGTTATATACCAGAAATGTCTACGTGATTGTCTTGAATAGTTTGGAAAGTAATAATGATAAAATTTACTACCAATAATCCAGAATATTTATTTTCAATGGTTTGTGTTTATCATATATTCTTTGTATAAGCATTCGATGTTTGATAATTTAAGGAATGATTAATAAATTATTACTGGGATATATGGATCAAATGCCATGCTATGTACTCTATTACATTTTATTCCTTAATATATAGCTTCATAAGAATAAGACATGAAATATAAATAGTTCCCTAAAATATTACCTGATTGGCTTCTATTTCAAGGATACAACCACAGATTTTTTTCTGAATGTTCCCAGCATTGAGAATTTCCATTAGTAGATTTTTTAAATGATTAACCTCCAATAAGTGCAAGAAACTTATTTAGGGAAGTCATGGTGAATATCCCTATTGAAGATCTGTAGAAGAACACCTCGTCTGCAGTGGACCATTGGCGACACAGGTGCCCGAGGTGTGCCCGGGAGCCCGCACCCCGAGGCTGGGTGACCGGCCGGGACAGCACCCGCCTCGGGGTGCTCTTAGCTGTGTTGCTCACCCTCACTTCTGCGCACCACTTGTCGTGGCTGAGCCTCCCATCCTTATCCACTGGCTTTCCTCTTCCTCTCTCTGATTTTCCCAAATCTCCACCCTGATGCTGCCACCTCAAAACCTTCCAGTAAACGCCGACTTCTGCTGTCCGCTGTGACCCTCCGGGGCCTGGCCTTGGATTTGATGCATGGCCGTAGCCCTGATGAGGCCCTCATCTCACAGGTGTGGCTGAATTTTTCTCCTCAGCTACTCTACGCAAAGCAGGAGAAAGCATGAATGGCGGTGATCTCACAAACGCCTCTGTTCATTTCCAAGTGGCAATTTGCAAAGGAAGAGCACAGTTTCATCCAAATGAGAAGGGATCTGCGTCCGCCTGGGAAACTCTCAGGATGGATGATGTCACCTACAGGGGAAGCGCAAGCCCAGGGCGTTAGATGGGGAGGGAGTGACCGAGCTTAGGAATCTACTGCCTGTTCACCTCTTGAGTCACTGCTACTTTGTAAAATATTTGATAAAAGTCATAGACAGAGTATACATTTTATATTTGTTCCATACTGTCAAATGTCATGGTCACTGAAAGCTCATGAAGAGATACTAAACTCTTTTAAATCAAGGTTTTCTACAGCTTAAAAATTCCACGATACTCAACTTTTCTTCTCTAGTTACTGGCAAGGTTACTTTATCTAATGGAATACAGTACTTCAGTCCTTGAGATACCACAATTGAAACCAAGGACTAAAACCATTAATTGTTTATTTATTTAAGGGAGTGCAATGCATTTGTTTAGATTGAAACTGTCAAGTAGTGAAACAAACAGAAAATGCAAACCGACAGAGTTCTACAGTCTGGAGACTCCCGGAGTGTGAGTGAGGGAAACATAGTCACAGTTGTTAGCAAAGTGATAATTTTTCATAAGTAGATGTCGTAACCTGGGCTCCTGAGGTCACTGTTCATGTATCGATTTCAGAATGTGTCTGATAGATGGGTGTGTTACACTTTAGAGAGAGGTGATTAAACCAACAGGAAACCAGATTCACCAGGAAACCTGAAATCCTAACATTTGGAAATAGCTAAGTGGAACCCAAAATCACCCAGAAATTTTTACTTATTTATGAACACAAGTCTATGCAATATGTACAATTATTTGAATATTTGAAAAGACATGCACTTATGAAGCCTCAAACTTGACAAGCATACATGAGCACGGAATGTGGGACACGCACACACACTTAGAGGGCCGCCAGCAGGAACATCAGAACTGCACGGCATGATTCTCCTCTTTCTGTACAGGACTTCACAGCTCTCTGGTTTATCTGACCAGTAGCTACACCTAGGCCAAGAATGCTCTTTAAAAATAATAAAGACCTTAAACCTTTTGTCTGCTTTTTACCTCTCTATTATAATAAAGTCCCTATCTTTTAATATCTTAAAGGTAGACAAATGTGTCATTTTAATGTTACCCATTAATGTGTACTGTGGCTCCTAATTTTTCTCCCTACTAAATGATTATTTTAAAGATAAGCTCTTTGGATATCTCTGCTTTATTCACTTCTGCTCTTCTTTCTTGCATAAAGAAGAAACACATGGAGAAGAAACATCCAGATCTTCACAGGGTGCATTCACTTCATCCATACACAGTGACACAAAGTTAACAATATTTCAGTGAGGCAACAAATAGAAAAAAGAGAGACGATATCATTAGATTGCAGGGCTGTTACAATGTGCACTCAGTAATATTGTACCAAAATAACAAAAAAGTCACTTGGATCACACGAATTCAACAATTCCCCTGTCTTATCACTTTGCACAGGTAGTCCTTGCCCCGTCCCAAATCTTGGACAATTGCTAGATAAAAACATAGGTTGTGTCATTGCAATGTTGCCACATAGTATGGGAAGGAAGGTCCACAGTAGTTTCTTTCCTTAGTCAGAGTCCATCCTTTCTTTCAGCAGGAGTTTAATAGGGTGCTATACATATACACATTCCTTACGAGAATCTTGTCATGCCTTTTAAAACAGTAATGTTACATCTCTGCTTTTCTTTTCTTTTTGAGTGACTAAATTAAATTTTAATGATGGTACACTGACCAATTTTTATAAGAAGAGCTATATGATTTTTTACAAAAGTTGCATTTCTCACTCCAGTGCCCTGAGATCGGAAGTGTGTCCCCAAGAGCAGTCTCCTCCCCTGAAGCCCTGTCTTGAGTCTCATTAGCTGACACGAGGAAGAGCTTTCCAACCACTGCTCAGCTACCTATCACAGGTGTGTGGAAGGAAGACCTTGTATCTGAGCACATCACCTGCAGTCACAAGCTTAGAGTGTATTTAACTGACAGCTTATAGCAGTTAAGTAAAACATCAATATAAGAATAGGTAAGAAATAAAATTATCTTTCAGTTACAAAATCAATGCTTTATGACATTGTAAAAAATACTTGTCTATAGTTAAGGCCAAACAAACCTAGAAAGTTTATCTCTTATGAACATATATTTTTAAAGTCTCATTTAAAGCCCATTAACTTTTGTTGGTAACAAGTATAACATTTCCACTGAATGAATCGTGTCCTGAACAATTTCAGGAAGACCATTCCATTGGAGATAATAGGAATATAACTTTTGGCCCAATTTCATTGCTTCTCTCAAACTTTTCCACCATGTCTCCTGAAATTCCTATTTCATGGTAAATAAATCTAGGACCACAGTCAATTTGCAATGTGTTTCCAAAACCTCCTTGCCATAATTGAGCCAGAGCTATCATAACAGGCAGAGTACCGAGCCTCACAGAGGCCTTCCCACCATTGCAGGACCTGGGAGTGTGCAGGTGTGAGGGGGTGCCCCGACTCCCCCAGCAGGCTCAGTATCCTCACTGAGGTCCTCAAAGGCAGAAGATGCACCACAACGGTGAGCAGAGATGAGCCATCAGGCGGAGTGAGGAACTTGAGACCCCTGGTCGGTCTGAAGATGGGACTGGACTGTGGCCATGGGATGCGGTGGCTTTCAGAACTTGGAAAAGACAAGGAATCGGACACCCTCAGCCCCTCAAAGTCATGCAGGCCTCTCTGCTGCCAGCGAGACTTTTCACCTGGGGAACTATGAGATTTTACAAAATGACATTGTTGTGAACCATTATGTTTTTGGTAGTTGGTCAGTAGCAGCCATAGAAAGCTAACACAGCTCCAAAAAGAGCAGTGTGTCCTGCCCAAGTCCTATCTCTCCCAGGCTGGCTTCATGTTTCTTCCGCACTCTATTCTAGGAGGCGACAGGAATGTTACCCTCTACCCCATGCAAGTTCCAAACCACAGACCCGTAACCCAAGCCCACCTTCATCGAGGACCCGCACCCTTCGGCCCAGGGCCTCACCCAGGACATCGCTTGAGCCTGTGCTGGCCGCTCAGCAATGTCAGCATGTGCTGATCTCATGCAGCCTCCGGAGCCACAGCCCTTTTATTAATTACAAATCAAAGGTTCCTTCCCCTTGGCCGCTCTAGTGACCTCTTGCCTCCTCTGGCTACCATCTTCCCCTTTTTTGAGTGCAGGCTACTGGTCAGCGCAGGAGAAAACTATGCAGGAACAGCGGCTGTGCTACAGTGGACACCTGTGTCACACCAGGGACTCCCTAAGGACTTGCTCTGCGTCCATTTACAAACCATTTTAAAAAGAAATAGTAAAGCAAATGCATCTGCATTCTCCGGGATAGCAAAATTACTATGCCAATAAATGATATTTTACTTTCAAAAATAAAAATTAAAGAATATATAAAACAATCACTGACAGTGAGTGGTTTTAGCTAGTCCTTAAAATTGCCAGTAATTGATGTGTCTCTAGTTACGTCTTTTTGTAATCTCTTTGAACAGCTAGTCAGGCACCCTAACTTTTAGCCTAACGCTACAAGAAAGACAAAGTCACCGCCTATGTCTCATGTAGACAGTAAGTTCCCACATTTCTGTACTTATTAAAAAAGAAAACAAAAGAAAACAAAAATCCCCAAATGTTCACTGCGTTCTACATGGGCCTGATATCAGAAGCTCAGTAATAAAAGCAAGCCCTAAATTCCTCCCTCTACTGTTCCTATAAAATTATCCAAAATACGCATTT